AGATTTTAGCACTTTTCAAATTTTAGAAGCTCCTTATTTAGAATCAAAAAATTATCATTCAAATGATTTATATCAAGAGTAATATTATGAATCAAATCAAAATAGATTTAATTACAATTCTGATATTACTCAAGCTTACAATACATTAACATCTAAGAGGATTACAAAAGAATGGATAGTTGACAATGGCATAATAAAACATATGACTGAGAAGATTCATTGGTTTATTAATTAAAAACATCTACCAGCAAATGAAATATGGCTTGTTAAAATATCCATTGGACATAAATATTTTGTGATGGAAACAAGTGATATCAATATTTCAATTCAATTATCATATTCAATTAAAATCCATCTTCTACAACAAGTTCTTTATATTCCAAATTTTCGAAGAAATCTTTTCAGCCTAACGAAGGTTGCAAGACAACATAAAATATTTACTCTTTGCAAGGTTTCAACATGTTAGCTTATTCAAATAGTACTATTATAATAACAGGAAGAATGCTTCAAAGATATTATATTTTAAATTATTTAGTTCTTCTACCTCTTGCAACAATATCTTATGTAGCTTCTTATGGTAATATTCCATCTTTAGAAGAATTACAAAATATTCAAACATAGCATCTTTGTTGTAGTCACTTGCATTATGATATGATAAGAAAGATGGCTATTAATGATTTAATAACTGATATTTGACTTAAATCTATTAAATACCTAAGATTATGTTTTGGATGTACTTTTGGCAAGTTATATAGAGGAATATTTTTTTAAACTTTAAATTGTATTTGACATTCATTACCTAGCATGCTTATTCACAGTGATATATGTGGTCCTATGAGTGTCATCTCATACAAGATCATTTTATTATATTTTATTTAAAGATATTTTTACACAATATTAATTTATTTTTTATATTTTTTAGAGATCATAGGCTTTTATATGTTTTCAAAAGGTTTATAAAACCATATTTATAGACACCAATTATAAAGTTTTTACTTTATAAATGGACAATGGAGGAGAATTTTGTAATCAATGATTTAATGAATTTTTACATACCAAAGGCATAAAACATGAATTAACAGTTTCATATTTTTTAAAAGAAAATGGAATTTCAAAAAGAGACAATCGTATAATTATAAAAGCTACTAGAAGAATGATTTATCATGTTCCTTTTAATCCAAAATTTTGAGCAAAGATTGTTAATAACATAATTTACACCTTAAATTGCATATATTCTTTTCTTCTTTTAAATATTATTTCTTTTGAGGCTTATATTAGAAAAAAGCCTTTCTATTTTTATATGCAACTTTTTGGATGCAAAGTTCATGATCATGTACTTGACAAATTAAAAAAGAAATTTGATGCTAAAAATTGCATTAGATTATTTTTAGATACTTTGATGAATCATAAGCTTATTGAATTAAGATTCGACACATAAAAATCAATCAAGATATTATCTTTGATGAACATAATTATATATAAAATAATATTATCCAAAGAAAATATTATTTAAATATAGCTTCATTTGAAGTTTTTTTTTAGGAATCTCCTTGAATTTTTTAAGAATTTATAAGACCTTTCTTACTAGAATTAAATATGTGATCTATAAATACACTTTGAAATTTTATAACTACAGATTTGGATTCTCATAATTCTTAAATACATGAAAGGAGTATCAACAATGAAAGTACTCATCATATCAATCATGGATATGATATCAATATGAGCAACAAAAATAATACTTATGATGTTTGAGATCATATTATTAGTGGGAGCAACAAAAGCGATGTTCAAGAAAATCATGGTTATATAATCAGTGGAAGTAATGATAATCAAGCTCTTTATGGCAATATGCACAACAACATTGACTTTATTTGTGATAACAATCTGGATATTAATAAAAAAATTACAACACAATTTTGTTCAATACAATACATTACTTATTAAGGTTGATCTTTTTAAATAGAATTTTGATAATATTCTTGATGTTTTATCTTTTAATTAGAATTCTCATGATATTCTTATTGAATTAAATTTATAAATTTTATTATCTCCAATTCATCTTACACAATATACTTGTCATCTTCTTGATCATTATGGATATTTTATAAATGAGTGGCAATACATATCTACAAATTTTGTCATGACATTATCTTCTGCATCTATCAAAAAAAATATCAAAAATTCAAAACCTACCACTACTTTAAGTTTAATTTCTTTGCAACATCAGTTATCAAAATCATTCACTATTTTATTATAATTAACTCATGATTCTATGAAATCATCAATTACTTCATAGAATATATCTACATCTTTATTGGAGTCAAATTCTACTCCATCAATTATGCAATTAATGACTCAATTTATACCTTTTGTTCCTCAAACATATTAAGAGGCACTTCTTTCAATACTTACTTCAAAATGGAAGGATGCTATGTGTGAAGAGTGTCAATCTTCAATTAATAATGAAACTTTTCCAATTAACATATTTGCCTTTCAAAAAAAAAAAACCATCAATTACAAATGGATTTATGCACTTAAAACAAAGTTTGATGGTAATATTGATTAATTCAAAGCAAGATTGATTGCAAAAGAATGTTCACAAAAATATGAAATCAATTTTATAGAAATCTATTCAACCATTATTGAATATGATTCTTTCAAACTTATTCTTGCTATTGCTTGAAGCTATGATATGTACATTTGATAATTTGATAAAAAAACAGCTTTCTTACATAGAAAACTTGATCAAGAGACTTATATGAAACAAGCTCCAAGTTTTGAAAATTCTCCATTTCCACCCAAAGTATATCATTTAGACAAGGCTTTATATAGTTTGAAGCAAGCTAATCATGCATTAAATCAATGTATAGATTAATTTTTGATTACTCATAAACTTCAACTAAATTTTGTGCATCCATATGTTTATTATTTCAATAACATCAATCAACTTATTGTTGTTATGTTTGTTGATAATGGCCTTTGTTGTTGTCAAGACATTCAACACATTGATTATGTACTTATGACAATGAACGACATTTTTAAAACCAAAGTTAGTAATCCAAACACATATGTTGGTTTACAAATTGAAAGAAATTGAGCTACAAAACTTATATTCATATAACAACCTACTTATTTGGAAAGAATTTTAAGTAATTATGGATTTTCATAATCATCTCTAATTACTACCCCAATAGATTGTAATTCTACTTTTTGAAGTATTAATTTTGTAAAAAATGACCTAATTAAAAAAAATCTTTTTATAAATACTCTTGCTAGTCTTCAGTTTGCCTCTACATGAATTAAAACTGATATTACTTACTTTGTAAGTAACATCTCACATTTCAAAACAAAATTTATTTAAGCACATTGTAATGTTATAAAACAAATATGTTGATATATTCGAGGTACTTTGTATTTTAAACTTGTTTATGGTGGCACAAATTCATCAAATTGCTTATTGCATTTGTTGATTATGCAACTGATTTAGATGATCAAAAATCACAAAAAGGCTATGTTTTATTTTTAAATGGTGGACCAATTAGTTGGGGATTGAAGAAATAAGAAAGTTTAATTGACAACACAACCTATTCCAAATATATTACCTATTACATGGCAACCAAAGAAATTATTTGGTGTTGACAAATGTTAATAGATTTTGATTGTACTCAAGAAAAACTTACCATTTTATACTTTGATTCACAAAGTGCAATTTGATTGGCAGTTAATCCTAAGTTTCATTCCCTCACTAAACATATTGATATTAAATATCACCTGATTCGAGAGAAAGTTAAAAATGGAGTTCTACAAATAGATTATATATCTACTAAAAAAAAAAGTAGCTAATATTTTTAGAAAAGTTCTAGCTCATGATAAATTCAAGACATTCTGTGTGCTTCTCTGACTCCATACTCAAGCTAATGCTTCACTTCTCCATGAAGTGGGAGAATTAAGAAATGTTGTAATATCAATGGAGAAGTTATTATTCACTCGTGTGTGTTACTAGTAAGAAATAAGAACTTCTGATTGATACACAAGAATTGACTTGTAATAAAGAGTTATTCTTTCTCGATATTCTTGGTGTGGTATTCTGTGAAAACACTAGGTTCCCTGCAGAAATGCGTCACGATTAGCTGCATTAGGGTCTGCAGTAGGAGTGCAGAGAAGCGCACGTGCATGGGGTTTGGCGAGCGCAGGAGTTTTCGAGTGTTAACTAGAGGAAATTTGGCTAGCCCTGGTGGCAAGTACTTTCATGAAAGCATCGTATCAGATGCGAAGTCTCCGTCTGATGCACGAATTGTGTGAGCATTTGTGGGTGGGATGCTTGTTCTCCCTGTAGGATCGTTTGCAGAGAGGCACAGGCAATGTGACTTCGTGTGGAGGAACATGGGGAAGTAACGATGAAAAGAAGTATGAGTATTTTCTTGATGTGTGCGTCTGCACTATTGCACTAGTCAGCGTTGTTGCTAGGGACGATGTTGTGGGCTGTACTATTTTGCGTGAACGAGACCATCTGGAACTTTTCGGTGCTATCAAACCACGTCATCTTGTTATGTGTTATGTCAGAGGCGATGCAACGTGTTGTGCGAACCCGAACTTGCTGTTGAGCTTCACGAATGATCAGAGTTACCGACTTCCTGTTGAACACGAGAGGTAGATGTCGGAAATTGCAGCAATGCGTGCATGATGTACTTATCAACCATGTTCCGACTCTCAGTCTAAAATTCTGGTTTGCCAACATTTCGTGGTGAGTTGAACATGGAGGATTTGTCGGACAATCTGATGATGAGTCAAGGCCTGAATGTGCGGCACTGTTTGCATGTTATGTTGAGGGTTTGTGCGTTGGTGTGACTTCACGAGTCTTAATGCATTCCTTACAACCATCACGGAATGTGTGCGGAAGACGCCACGGAGACTAAAAGAATCTGTACAGAACCTGTAGCGACTGGCCCAGCTTGCGTCGATTGCCATTCGCTAGCATTCCAGTATTGCTGGATCGCTCAAGCTGTCTCGCAGTCGGAGCGGACGCTTCCAGAAGTGAGCACGGCGATCCTCCCCATTGCAATCATGGAGGTCGCGAAGTCTGTGCCAAAGGTGGACGGGGAGGCAGCGAGGGTGTTAACTCTCCCGCTCGTGCTGGCGTCGTTTGCAATCTCCTGGTCGATCCGAAGAACTCCTTTGCTCGCCTGGATGTTGGTGAAGTAGCCGGTGTCGAAGGACGACTCGGAACCTTGGTCCAGGGCCACGGTGGTCACGTCGCCGGCCACGTTTGGGCAGCGAGACTGAAGCACGGCCAAATACGTCGCGTCCAGGCTGGGATCGGGCAAACCGGTGCCCTGGAAGTTGTACAAGCGGTCGACGAAAAACTGGCACTGCGAGACGCCGACGGTGTGCGCACCTGTCCACACCAGAACCAAACTTTAGCATCCCAGGTTGGCCACGACGAGGGCCCGAGGTCGCTCTGGACAGACACGCAAATGATTTGCTGGAGGCGGGATCATGATTGACAACATTACCAAGAAGGTTGACCATGTCGTCCTGCGTGAGGCCAAGATTGGTGAAGAATGGAGTGGCCTCCGCCACAGCGGAGTTCGGGGACGGTATGTTCACACTTGCGGCGGGAGCAGCGCCATCGAAGCGCCCAGTTTCTGCACCGTACGTGGCTCCACCTAGCTGCGCAAGTGAATCGGCAGGGATGAGCCGTCGGCAAATGAGCTACAAGCGCGGCAAGAGCAGGGGATGTGGATGTGGATACAACTGCGGACATTCATAGTGTCGGATTCTGTGGAGCGATGGTGGCTTACGATTTCGACAGAGTCTCGCGCAGCAAGGGCGATTATGTCGGCACAGGAAACCACTCCTGGGCAACTGGATTCCAGCTGAGCTTTGGCATCGTTGATGACGCCGTAGCCTCTCACAGATAGGTTCGGCGGTGCATCTCGCTCCGAGCCCGTTCCGGTGAGCATGATGGATGCATCGCAACCCTGAAGCGGCCCGACAGAATTTGGGAACAATTAGCAAACACACAGCAATGGGCAATCCACCATGATTGCGCCCCAATTCTTTCTGAATGCAGCCGGCAAGGAACACATCGTGTGCGGGAAGCGGTGAAGTTCGCCACATGGATTTCTGGGTTCCGGTGCCAGGATCCTCGTACCTGAGCGAAGCAGTCGTGGAAGTGCAAGCGAATGATACTGGCAGCGATGGTCCCATCCAAGGCGACAGCCGATTGCACCGCACCCTTCACAATGGATTCAGCAGCGCTGCATGTTGCGTCGTAGAACCCCACCTGGACGGCCCCGTGGACCACGTGCTGGACCGCGATCGAAGAAGCGATCAGTATGGTGAGAAGCCAGGGAGCAGGAGCCTGACTGTCACTACCAATTTTCGTCGATCTCGACATTTTGCTTGTCAAGCAGGAGTCGGAGGAACAGAAAATTGAAGAGAGGGAGGCTGGTTGATGCAACACTGGCGTCCACAGCAGCAGGAACGGATTCGGAATCCTCAGGATGGCGGTGGCAGGAACACTGCACTCTGGGCGGTTACAAAGTGATCGTCAGACAAGCAAATGCAGCAAGAGGGTAGGAGTGTGGATTGACGAATCTGCATTTCACCACCAAGTTTGCCCGGATTTATGTTGCCTTTCAGTTGGGTGCAGACCGACCTGCGGCGCATAGGTTCGTGGAAGTAGCGTGAGAATTATCCGGGGGAGCGCTTGACTATGGAGTGTCAATTATTGGAGAAGGATGTGCAACGAACCGCCAGCTGAGAGGATAAATGTTTTACACATCCAGAAGTCCGCGTGCAGGTTGGAGCAGCATTGGGTGACCGACGACAGGCAAACTCCATGAAACCCATGCTCCATTTTCTTCTCTTCATGCTCCAGGAACGTCGAGCGTCATGCAAAGTCAATGGCGATTGGGAAACAAAGGGTGTACAAATGCGGGAGCTGCCCGCTGATGGCGACGCAGGTTGACACCAGTAACACACCAGAGAGAAAAAGGGGCATCCGAAATAAGTACGCATGAGGCATTTTGGGGAGGAGTGGAACATTTGGTTGTACCGAGATCCAGTTCCCCTTTCGATCTTGTGCGAGCAGCGCTGGGTCCGCCGTGTTCGGAGGGTGGGTACGTTGAGTCGGGCTTGAGTGGTCGCAGGCCCCAGGGCAGAAGCGCGGGTGGCCCGCTCACTCCAAGATGTCCGAAAAGCAATGGAAGTCGTTGACGACGGATCAACGTCAACGCAGGGACTGGAGCACCCACAACACGGATGGACGAAACGGTTACACAAGGGACTTTCGAAGCACGCGGCAACCCTCCCACGGGGATGCATGCCTGCTGGTATGGGGGCGGGGTGAGGACCAGTTGGAGCGGATGATGAGTTTCAGATGTACTGGTGCGATCAGCGCCGTGCAGCGCGTGAAGGTTCCGAGTTAGCGGCAGTGACGGTTTGAGTCTGGGTGGAGGAGAGTGCGAGGGACTGCAAATGAGGATTGGGCACGAGCGGAGTGGAGGTTCAGGCATGGGGGATCATAAGCTCTCTAGCTTGGGTGTGCATCCTCACTCTTGCACTTGTTACTCCTGCTGCAGTCGCTACCACGTCCCTCCGCGGTGTGACATACCGCACTACCGACCCGAGCATTACCACCATAGGCTCGCCAGAATCAAGGATAACATGATGTGTGCTACTTCTTATCAAATTTTCTAAAAGAGCACTTGTTTTGCAAAATTTGTTGTGTGAATGGACAATCATGGACATGCTCTTCTATTGTAAGACATTATGAAGTTTGTCCAACACAGTAATATAAGACACATATAGTCTTATTTATAGTATATTAGACTTAATATAAGATACTAATAAATATGAATGTAACTGTGAATAGAGCTACACAGGAGGGGCAACATTGCATTCAAAGCTCAATAACTACTTTTTTGTTGTTTCAAAATTGTCATTTCATAAATATGAGTTTAAAAATCACTCACATATTCTCTTAATATAGGACACAATTCTTAATGATTTTATGACAAATGTCCTACATTAAAATGAAATAAAATCCATCATTAGAAGGGCATGATCATAGATATTGTTTTTGTTGTTTTGTGCATTGTTGAGAAGGGCACATTGTAAGCAGCATTAAAATATAAAATATTTGTTTGTATTGCAACAAATGTTATTAGGAAGATGTTTGTTTTGGCATAGAGCTCTATATGAAACATACAAAGATGTGAACAAAGACGCATAGCGCTCAAATCTGCACTATTTTTGTCAACTGATACACTATTGCAAACAATAAAACAAGCATTTTGAAATTCATAAGTTCATTATTTTGGAACTTTTTTTTACTATTTGAGACTACAACAAAAATAAAATTTCCCACTTTGAAAGTTAAAAAGTGTTCAACCGTGCTTGGAATGTACCTTAGTGGGAATTTGTATTAATACCACCTTTTGTTGGTAGGTGCAAATGGTGGGGTGGTCAAGTTTGTCCTCCATTTTGACACCCATTAGTTTGTCAAATTTCTTTAGATGTCTATATGTTTGAAACTTCCGCTTGAAACATGCTCTGAAGTCCACATTACTACTGTTTTGAACAATTGAACTCAGTTGCGTATGTTTCTAAGTGTATATCATTTTAGAATGAGACATGGAGGTTTTGCACAAATGTTTTTCATTACATCTTTTGTACTACATCAGTAAATTGGTTTTCTGTTGGGAATGACAGTGAGGCGGCTTGTACTGACTTTTACGTAGAATATTCACAGTTCATCGTATTTACCTGTCTATTTTACGTCTGTGTACCTATTTGTTACATTTCGACAAGCGGAACCAGCGACTCTAGTGAACTGGGGAGTGGCAGAATGGCTTCAACCGTGTGCATGAGTGGGGCTGAAAGAAGTGCCATTGTTGCATGATCAATCACTCATGCGTATGTACAAGTGTGCACACATATTTTCTTTTCTCTAAAGTTCTCGAACCCCGAAGTAGAACACTGTTCTATGTAGTGTACCCAGAGTGTGGTCGTACAATATTATATTGGGTTTTATACTTCCATGATTATATTGGGTTTCCATGAAGTCCACCGTCTCATCACATGCGTAGTTTTAATAAGTATCTGTAGCCAAAGCGGCTAAACAATTTTGGACTGCGTACCTATGATATTGACTCCCGCCCATAGCCACTTCATCACATCCTTTCCATCATTGAATCTGATTGATACGACTATTCAGCACGCTTCAAGTCCTGTGCATGCTCCATCGTGTTCTTCTGTGGTTATGGTTCAGAAGCGATGTCGACCAAAGAGTGATAGACTTTTGCCACGACGAACTGACGTGCAAAACAAAGGGAGAGCCAAATCCACTTCACAGGGAACTTGTCGTTTCATCAGGGTCGACCAAACCTCATTTCCACATACAAATTCATAAGCTAACATATGTTTCACAAAGACTTGTCTCTAAATGTTACAATATAGATGCCTCAAGGTATAAGTCCTGTATCCTCACATATATGAGGATATTGGAAGCAACCACTGTGTAGGACATATTAGTTAGACGTAATGACTAACGTCTTCGATGTTAGCGTCAACAGGAACCCTTCACAAATTTATTTCGGCCACAAGTTCACCTGTTTAAGGAACAGCACCACAGAGATAGGCCAAGCACTGGTTTTGCATCTTTCAAATCAGTCATGCAGCAACGCACTTAAGCGATCCAGCCGATGAAATGAAAATTTCGAGCCACGGAATCAGAAGGGAGCACAGAGTCTACACGAATTGAGCAAAAGGAGAAATATTAGGCATGAGTGTCTCAATCAAAATCACCAACTAAAAACACCACTGTCAAGCTTCATAACTATGAATACTGACTCAAGTAAAAGGGTATTTTCCATAGATTTAAACACTAAAATCCACTTCCTCCTACTACTGCGGATGCACAGCATCCGCAACGCGCTACAAACGCCATCTAGCATGATCCTCAGCATCTTCCATTGCCTGCACATACAAGAGATCTCAATTATTACCAAAAGCGTAAGTAAAGCTTCTTATCTCTCGACATCAACTTTAATGTAGCCAGACAAGTGGCCTTATCACTTACTATCAGATTGCCAACTATTTCTATTGACTGCGATCACGATTTCAACATCTGACATATCAAAATACCGTGGCCATAAAATGTGATCTTCAGATTGGATGCATGATGCGGCCATTGTAAATCACTATATGCTATAGAACAATTTGCATCAGTCGACTCCAACAACTTATTCACCACAAACAATCTCTCAAACTCTGAGAGAGAAGTGGATATTCAGAGAGCCCAAAGCGAAACTTAATGTGGATATGCGCAGAGACAGCTGTAGAACACTTACATGCTACTGAAGAGTAGATTACATCCGCACTCTACTTCTCAGATGAGTTGGGACCCCTCTTTTTGCCAAACCCGACCACTGTCCAAGAAGCAAATCAATTGCACGTCATTATCAATCACAAGAAATTCAAAATCAAGCATTTCGAACGGCATGAAATGCACATCGACCTAAATCCAAAAACCCCTTCACCCACCTGCTGTCACAAATCGGCGGTTGTATTGCATCCTCTTGTGAGCGCGACCCTTAGGCTTCTTCTTCTTATCCTGCTTCGCCACCTTCGGGGTCTGACCACGCACCTTTCCGGCACGGGCCAAGGATCCATGAACCTTACCTGCCCCATTCAGAAAACGAGATCAATCAACAAAAAATAAACCTCAAAACCTAAAAACGACAACAATCAACCTTAACAAACTACACAAACCCTAAACCTCAACCAAAAAAAAAGTCGACAAATCCTGAAAAGAGAAGCGGGGGTAGAAATAAGAAGAGACGCACTCATGGTGTAGGAGAGTGAGCGAGCAAGCGGAAGCAAAGGGGGCGGAAACGAAGCGAGCGCGGGAGACTCCGAAGAAAGAGAATCTGGTGTGCAAGCTGAGGTGCTTTCAACACGCCTTCTCCAGGAAGCCCTAATCTCCACAACGAGGAATATTTTTGGACGACATGCATCCACTGTCAGTCGGTGGATGAATAATAAACGAATGAAATATGACAAATTCTGTCGATTATACCTTTCATTCGTTCGATGAAAAATCAGAGTTAAACGGGAAAGCTTCCCCAATGGTTGCTCAGATTATCAAGAGGATACCCCACAAAAGTTTACAAATGTTAATATTTAAGATAGGGTTATTTTTTAAAAAAATTCATTTACACACACGTTTAGTGTAAAGACTGCATAACTATGTATTACGTTTAGCTTAATAATAATAAATAATAATTAAATTAAATTAAATGGTACTAAGTTTTACTAATTTCCTTTACTTGCAATATGTATGAGAAAATGCATGCTAACTTTTTAATCACTGTTTATAATTATCTCAAGATTTCACTCGTTAATATTCTTCAATCGAGACACCAAACTTCATTTCCTTCTTTTTATATCAAGAAAAAAATTGACTAATTAAAATATATATATATATATATATATATATATATCCAATGCTGCAACAGTGCTTGAAATATGTTCTCTATTAACAAGAAAATTATGTACCTTTTATTTTTTATTTTTTATTTTTCAAAGAAATAATGCTTCTACATATATATATATATTTGTTTGTATGTTTGATTCTTATTATGATTATCATTTCAAGTTGGGTATCTTTCAGTTTCTTGAAACCAAGAGTTGATTATTAATAAAATTGGAAAGATGATCATTACATCTCATTTCATGCATCTCATTTAGATTTATACGTTTTTAAACTTATTTTGAGATTTTGATAATAATACTATATTTACATTAAAAATGATAAATGTGTGTATGAGTTTTTTTTTTTCTTCTTCTTCTTTTATTTTTTATGATTTGAAGTATTTTTTGAAATTGAATCCAGTTTGATTACTTTTTCGTTTTCTACCAACCTTAAACAATTCATTGGATTTTTTTTTTTTTTTTTTTTTTTTTTTAACTATTTGAAATCACAGTGTCGAAAGAGAAAAGTTATCAATGTCTTGTATTAAAATTGAAACAGTTGGACTTATATTAAATGTGATCCAAGCTAATACAAAAAATAAGAAATAAAAAAAACAAAATAAAATACAACCACAACTACATGACATGCAATATACATAATGATTTATTTAGATAAAAGTGAGTGTAAATGTAGAAATTTTAATTAATGGGGAATATTCTCTTAGACCAAATACTGCGCATAGATGATGTGCACTTCTTTTCAGGAAGTTCTAACAGCATTGAGAAGCCAATAAGAAGTAAATAAACCAATAACTGTTATCCAAACCAACAGAAAAATAAATAAATTGGTGTGTATTTCAAAGCAATACAACAATTATTAGTGTGTCATCTAAGGCAAAAATAATAAATAAATAAATAAAACCTTGTTATCCATGGCAATTAAAAAATTCAAAATATTGTGTTATCCAAGACTTGCATATTTAAAAAAAGAAAGGTATGAAAGAAAATCTCATTTATAGACAATGTTAAAATTTAAGGATTACCAAAGATGGTGGTGCTTGTGCTTTAATAATTATGATTAAATCACAAAATAAATGATCTCTCAGGATTCTAATTATTCAAATGGATTCAACATCCTCAAGAATTATTAGAGTTGATGAATTAAACAATCTATTAAAATTTATAGACTGAATAACAGACCACAAAGAGGTTGCTTGTACTAATTAAATTTATATAAAAAATTATGATTTTTGAAGAGGGATAAAAGAAAAGAAAAGAAAAAAGCAATATAAATATGAAAACAATAATAGTGGTCACTTAAAAAAAAAAAATAGAAAAACCAGAAAAACCAGATAAAAAAGAATACGAAAAAATTATTATTTAAAAAATATACAAAATAAAATAGTTGAACAATCTTACACTAGTTATTCTATCTACTCACTTCATTGACACCTTATTGCAATTCACGAGAGTGATGGTTTGCAAAAGCATAAATTCATACTAAGGTTACAAATGATCCTTTAAGTGGGGTACATATGGTACTTCAAATACAATGATTTTATCTTTCTATATATATATATATATATGATTTCAACTCTAAATTTTACTTCAATTTTCAATCAAAATTCTGTCTTTTGAGGAAAAAAAGAAAAAGAAAAAGAAAAAAAGAAAAATAAAACCTAGATTTAGTTTCTCATTTAAAATTCAATATTTTACATCCATAAATCCATCTCAAAGATTACAAGGTGAGTAATTAAGAGCCTTAAAAAAGGATCAAAGTATTATCAATCAATAATCTAAAGAATACTGAAAATAAATCTATTAATAAAGGGTAAAAAAATCAAGTCACCAATCCAAAAAATTGAATTTCAATCGAGAACTTCAAATAATAATAATAATAATTAAAGAGACAAAATTTACTCATATATTTAGTTTATTTTAGAGGGCTTCTCTACACCAACGAATGAACGATACATAAATGGATGGATGAATTTACTCAACGTTCTTCATCCATCACCCATTCTGCAAAGTTTCCCGGGGTCATCACACTCGTCACAAAAATTAGGGTTTCACATCAGTCTCGGAGCTGCAGTGCGCGAATACTTGTGCGATTTGGATGCGAAAGTTGGGAAATTGAGTGGTATTTCCTCCTTCGATTGGTAAGCGATGAATGCGCACCCGTTTGAAGGGCTGAATATGATCCCGGAAGAGTTCAGAGAGTCGATTCCGGAGGTAGATGATGAGAGGTCGTTCGCCGAGAAGAGCCTGGAGGAGGACAACGCGAAGCCAATCGTGAAGAAGGCGAGGCGGTTGCTGTACAGGAGATTGAAGGTGGGAGTCGAGGATGGACGCATCTTCGTGGGGAAGTTTCATTGTCTGGATAAACAAGGGAACATAATCTTGTATGATACGGTTGAGTTTCGAAATGTGCCCAGTTCGGGGGAAGTGAGAGCGGAAGAGGACGTGGGAGGGGGGGCGCCTGTCGAGCAGCGTAGCCTGGGGCTGGTTCTGATTCCGGCTCGGTGCCGGACTTTGTGCCATGTAGAGTGTTCGTTGAATGAGAAGATGGACCTTCTGAGTTTAGGTTCCTGAAGAACGATGGCATCGGCCACGAGCCAAGAGCGTTGTTACAATTTTTATCAACTTATTGGGCCGGGATTTGGAGAAGAGCTCCACGCTGAGATGGGGCCGATTACTCTTTCAGAGGCCGGCACCGAGAAATTGAACTCGAATACTGAGTCCCTTTGGTGGCTACGTATGTATCATAATTCATCGATTTAGGTGCTAATTTTCACATCTGAAATCATCCAAATACAAATTGTTTTTCACATCTGTCATTGTCATGTTCTTGTCATCTTCTAGTGCTTATCTGAAGATGCGCTCTACTGCTCGTTCAAGAAGTGAGGAGCCTTATTAGTCGTTCTTTTGTGTGTGCTCCTAATAAATGAAATTTCATTGTGAGTGGGTTTGGAGATGGCAGATCTTGTTCGATGTTACTGTTGCCTTTTCCGTGTAAGATATTCACGGAAATTCGGCCCAATTGCTGATGCAACGAATAGTTCCCCTAGTCGTGTAAGCCTTGCAAAATTTATATACCACTTGTCTCTGGATGCATGAACATCTGCCGTGCTCCTTTAAGTAGGTCTTGCTCACAAATTATCAGCGAAGCGACCGGGTGTAAGAGAGGGTGAGTCGTGGGACACTACGTCTCATAGTGACATGCAGGAGCTGTTATCGAGTCCCATCGCCATGGCCGCCGTTGAGTCTCACGTTATGTGGAGATTATCAACCCCCAGCTAGAACAGAAGAATATGTATACTATTCTTGTGTTCTAGCTGGGGGTTGATAATGCAAACTAGACAAGATTTCAGTATGAATCTTAGACCTACAAGTTAAAGTTTGTTCAGCAGATATGGAAATGCACACAACCCAGAATTACAACGAGCTTGCTGCTGCTGCAAATTGCACAAATTCTCTCCTTTGAGAGTGTGTTTCAATACACCAGCTCAGATTTGTGCTCTTAATACAGACTGGTTTCTCTCTAAGTGGGCAACTGCTTATGAGCCACACTTTAAGAAACAAATGAGAATGTATTTCTTCACAGGGATGATCTTGCTGGACGTGATGCTCTTCACATCGACACACCTCTAGGTCTAATCCATGCATTAAAGCTTTGTTGATTTGTTTATGGCATCTTTGTGAAATGTGAGGAGTTATCAGCTACAATTGCATCTTGGATAATAGATGGGCCAAAAAATTGGATTGTGAAAGTGAAGACTAAGCGTTGTATGTTATACGAATTAGAAAATGATTGCTTGCATAAGTATAGGTTAAGGTTTTGAATTTTAAGAGTCTTAAAACAAATACACATCAAATTAAATGAGTATTAGTGTGTTTGTGATTGTTTGGATTATTGGTTACATGGGGTTTTTGGAATTGAATTGAAGAGTTAGAAATATGAAGAGGATGATAAAATTGTTGGAATAGAGTATTTTGGTATCACCAAAGATGGAATGAAGACTTAAGTTGGAGGTGAATAAACTTATAGGTCATTGTATGTATGGAATTAAAACATGGGTTAATCAACTTGGTTCAAGCCATTTGAAGGGATTTTTCTAAAAATAATAAAATAGCAACAGTGCAAAAAGTGACGTTTTGGAATAAATAAATAATAATACAAAAATAGATATAACTAAAAATAATTGGAATGGACACAACTGGTATTAGAATGATAAAAGTTATAAAAATGTCATCCAAAGAGCATAGGTAATAAAAAGGCGTTTAATTTTTTTACAATGTATTGAAGAAATGTAAATATATTACCTTTATCAAATATTTAAATATATCATTGAGTTATGTTTAGCTTTGAACTAGTTTAACATTATTTTTTTTTTGTATTTATCGACATTATAAACAAGTAATTTTAAAGAGAATACATTGTACACAATTTCATAATATATATATATACATATATATATATATATATATATATATTATACACATTAAACACCATTGAAAATATTTAAAATAAAAGTAGAATAAAACACATTGTATGAGGAAAGGAATCAATGTTTAATTTTGACGTTTAGATTTAAAAAAAAAAAAAAAAAAAAAAAAAACACTAAGTAAATGAATCAATGATTTGTCTAGCTGTTTACAAAATATTTTAATAATATTTTGCAACAACAAAATATTGATATATGTATGTATATATATGTATGTATGTATATATATGTATGTATGTATATATATGTATGTATTATATTAGAAAGCCAATGATTTTACAAGTGTACATGAAAAGAATATTTAAAATGTGTGTGTCTATTTTTTAAATGTGACATTAAATGTGACATTAAATGTGACATTATTATTGTTGTCTATTATTTACAAATAATGATATAATAGTACACTTTACAATATGTAATTATTCATACTGTTAAATAACTAAATATACATGACGACAAAGCAACGACGAATTCACTTTGTGGCGGGAGCGCAAGCGGGTTATGGAGGGAAAACCCACGGGCCATTCACGTCACCAAATTTTTCCATCCTCAGCTGCCCGATTTTCACCTGCCCGTCACTGCCCGACACCAAGCCACCGCAACCAACCGGAAGGCTCGAATTCGGTCAGGAGGGGTCGAGCCTCGCCCCTGCCCGAGCCCGTGCCGGCGCCCGCGCGGGTCGGTTCTAGAATGTAACGGAGAGTGAAGGCCTCGGCCGTCTAACGAACGAACAGACGGACGAACTGAAGGACGGACGGAAGGACGGCCGCTGTGGGAGGTCCGCATTGCGGTGCTATGGCGATCGCACTCCGCATTCGCAACATTGTCTTTGTTTCGGGAAAACTGGCTGAAACCCACTCATTTGTTGTGAGGTATGGGCGGATTCTTCCGTTTTATTGTTTGTTGGGTAATAGAGAAGATGGGTGGATTCGGGTTTCTGACTGTGACGGGGTTCGGAGCTTGTTCCTTGCTGCGGGACTCGGAGTCTTGATGTCGTCGCGTCTGTGGGGATTTACGAGACGGGCATGATGGTTACTGTTTTGGGCAGTAATTGATTGGGTTGCAGTGGGTTCTCACCAGGGAGGAAGACGGAGCCCGCCTTTCGTGAATAGGTGGGATGATGGGTGGAATGACGTTAGGGGCGGTTTACGGAAGCGAGGGTTTGTGCTTGCAGTGGTTGTCGTTGTGAACGCTGACGAGGAGAGGTAACCTTGGGCGTCGAATACAACGCCAGATACGCAATTTGGAGTCACAGACTCCTCCCTCTCCCTAAAACTGTGTGGTCTGTTTCTTCTCGAACTTTGGTGTGGAATTTGTTTGAGTGTGTTATTCGTGTGCTAACCTGTCCACTCACGGTTTCTCTTGATTTCTTATTTTCATTTTTTCTCTATTTTGCAGCACTTGCGAACCACGACGTGTTTTATGAGGTATACATCCATGTCGAGCGTCATGAGCTCCACCAATGCTAGCTCGGGGCATTCCAGTTGTGAGACAATATACAGTACCGATGAAAGCGACGATGATGATTGTCAGGTATTGTGGTCGCGCCCACCACCGAGGGAAACTGTTTCAGCAGCCACATCGAATAAATCTCAAAGTTCCTCGTGGTCGGATTGGGAGGTCAGATCATGTAGGAAAAGGCCTAGGAATGGAAAAATAAGGAATGGTTACTTGGCACCTGATATCGTTGAAGATTCCCAACAAAACCTTCGCAGGCAGTGGGAGGAAGCTACACTTCGGCGTCGAACATGCCCTCCCATGCAGAGTGAGGGGTCTAAAGCTGGCACATATGGTTGGGACCCTCGGCCACCACAATCAGCAAGATTTCGAAGAGAAACTGATTCATCCGCAACTTTAGGTGGGGACTCTCCAGCGGCGGAAACGGTTCAGTCGAATGGCAACGTCAGTCCAGCGAGAGATCTTAGCTTTCCGAACCTGTCGGAGGGTACCTCCACGTCTTCAGATTCGGTGGTTCAGACTCCAGAGGTCGAACCTACGGAGCATGACAACACAGAACATGACGAAGTTGCGTCTGGGAGCAGAAAGCCTGCTGCATCTGTCTTTGCAGCCAAATATCATGCTTCTGCTAAGAGAAGCTATCCCGTCTTTGCAGCAGATGACCAAGAGTTACATGAAACGTCAAGTAATTCGGTCTTTCCCAATGGTGAGAATATCTTGATCTTCAACATGCATGCCGCTAGGGCATCATGTTCAACCGATGTTAGAAAAGGCTGCAAGAGACGGCTTGGGCCAGATGACATCCACGATGCTCCTGCGAACCATTTTACATTCCGCAGTAACGGGACTGATGGAGCAAGCACGAGTGGGCAAGTGGCACAGGGCACGGCTGGCGTAAAGCACATGGACGTTGATAATCAAAGTAACAGAGATTCCGGGGGACTGGAACCTGCTTCTGATTTTGCAGCAGGGCAGGACTTAGTGGGAGCGCGTGAGAAGCTAAAAGAAACTACTGATTTTAAGCTGGCGGATGAAGCAGAGTGGGCAAATCGAATGCAGGAGTTGCAGAAACAGGTTGGTGTTACATTATGGAGCATACCAAATCTCTATTTCTCGACCATTTGGTGTGCTGTAAGAAGCATTTGGATGGCTGTGGTGATGAAATAGTTGTTAGGCCATGTAGCTCCGATTTCTTCGGCAATGGATGCTTGCGATTTCAATTGGGTCTCATGACTCCCATTGCCCTTCATATAGTTCTGTTCAAAAACTGCTTCAGCGTCTGAATTGAAGTGTAATACTTGTAGGCTCTAGAGGCTCAAAGATTGCGCGAGCGCAAGAGGGCTGAAACCGAACGGAAGAATGAGGTTGAACTACGGCAGAAGCAGAGACTGGAGGAGATTCGTCTTACGCAGCAGAGGGTATGTGAAACCATAACAAGAGGTTGCTGTTGAACAATCGTAATCTGTACTCGAATATCTAACAGAGTTCCTTGTATATTTACATTTAAGAAACAGATGCAACAATAGACTCAAGTTTCCATAATTTCTTTCTTCTCATCGTTGGATGTACAATACTTTTCGAGATTCGGGGTTGAAAGAAGAATCTGGTTTTTACAATCGTTGGTTTGTGAGAGCAGGAGGAAAAGAACATGGGAATGAAGGACCAGCTGCGTGGCAAGGTGCAGGCTGATCTTGAGCGCTTGGCTTCAGAGTGCAGGGATATGACCTCATTGCTTCGCCGCCTCCAGATTCCTGTCGAAGGTGGTAAATATCCATCTGCGCAACAGGTAAGACATAGATGATTTAAAAATATACTGAGCACGTAAGTCTGTCAACAACAAGATGTGGACACTTAAGCACTCCCTTGAAGTCGGCTGCTTTTCTACTTTTTCTTTTACTCTTTGAAGCCATACCATGAGCTTGGTGCTTAAAGCTTCTCATCTCCTGCACTTAGGGACGCGGGGCTACTGATGCAACTTCAGACGATGATTCATATATATATATATATATATATATATATATCTATATTGGCCATGTGGATTAAATTACCTGATTGACTCTGGCAGGTTAATGCAGCCTACAAGAAGGCCCTTCTTAGATTTCATCCTGATCGAACCTCTGCAATTGCTCAAGGTGATCCTAAGCGTCAAGTGGAAGCCGAGGAGACATTTAAGCTCATCACTCGTATGAAGCCAATACTGAAGCCTAGCATCATGCTCACTGCAATGACTGCTAGATGATCATGGGTACGAGGATTGCGGCATAAAATTTCTATTAATAAGTTTGCTCTTCGAAGGTTAAGGCTGCCATTTGGTTCTGAGAAGAACAGAGCTTTGGAACATCAGAAAACCCCTCCTGATACATCGACTCTGCCGATCCTTAATTTCTTGCTGATCTCTGCCACTCGTCTCTCTCAGTCGGCGTTGGAACTGAACTTTATAATTCAGTCGAGGTAAAGCTCTCTTTACTACTCCAGTGATTGTTGATGCAGATGTCTTATCGGTTTGCTCAATTTCTGGCACTCTTGGATGGCATTTCTTTTTTTTGGAACACACGAGTTACAAACATGGCAAAGTCAACGATGCTAAAATATTTAGAGTATTATGGCTTTGCAACATATGATGCTCTTTTAAATATTTATTGGGAACGATTAATTCTTATGATGCCCGACTGTAACTTGGTCGAGGCCTCATGCCGTTATATGACGTGACCTGTTTATCTTCTCCTTTTGACTCATCTCTTTGTGTGCAGTCTGATGTCCAAGATGGAGGAATGGGATCAACGTACTTGTGTTTTACGTCAAATTTATTGGACTACCTGGCTTCGTCTGCTTGATTGATCTACCTTGCGGATTTCGAATGAGATTCGATTGTCATTCGGCCCATGTGAAGCAGACTTGGTTCTAGGAAAGAAAATACTACAAAATGGCTTGCGAGGCCACAGGAGCCTTGCTCATCTTCTTTCTCGACCCTAGTGTAATCAATATTCTCAGGTTGCACCGTGGCTGGAGGCAACGCATGTGAATTGCGTTTAGCAGCATTTTCGGAATTGATTAATGGTAGCAGTGAACGACTTAGGTGTAGACAACTACCAGTGAAAGCCAGCTGAAGAGTGTTCTGCAAGGTAGAACCTTCCAAGTTCTAATAGTCCTGCACTTTGATAGACATTCTGAGACATAGAATTGCCGTGACTTGTGCCCTAGCCTCTGGTCAAATCCGCTTGCATCGATGTGGCTTAATTTTTTTGCTTTTGCTGATATACATGGCACGCCAAGAGCTTAGTATCTGTTCGCAATTTTATTTATCGCAGAGCAGTTGTAATATTAATATGCATCTTCTTCCTTTGATACGACTGCTTTTAATATGTTAGCCTGCCCCCATGTCAGTGTCATGTCTTCGTCGGCGTTGTGCGTCATCCTTGCAAGCCTTGTGCCCCAAAGCTGTTATCCGTGGGGGTAACGAGATCGGCCTACCTGACGTACCTGCCCAATCACTCAAGGACGCAATTCTCTCCTCTGCAGGGCTGAAATTGACAGGGCGCATGATTATGACATCCGCTATAATTCGTCTTTCAGAGTCGTCCTCTGCTTCAAAATGGTTCGAAATCCGAGTTTGATGATTCAGTGCCGAACCCAGTTTAACCTGTTCACCTGCACAGCCAGGCTGCGTCAGCTAAACCAAACACCATTCCGTCTGATCAAAGCTAACTCGTAAATCTAATAGACACCGAAGAGCTGTTGTCAAGGATCACTGGTTGAGTCGACCTGTCGGTGAAAGAGTTCCTGGAGTTCAAGGAATGGGAAGCATTCCATCGGAAAAGGCCCAAGCTTCGGCGAAGTCGTCTGCATCAGCAACCAGAAGCAATCCCTGACAGTCAACAACGGAAGCTGCCCGTCCCCATTTTCAAAACCAGCAGCTGAAGCTTGACCTTGATGAGACTCACATCTCGGTAGTGCTCAGAAACGGATTCCTGTTTACCCTAATGCATGGTGCCATCGTCATGGTCCAGATCAGTGGCAACGAATCTCCCTCGCGTGCTTCCTGTCCGCGTTGCTTTCATGCTATTTCTGCCGCAGTGTGTTTGGTGGGGGCGAGCAACGCAGCGTCAGTCTTCGACCTCAATGTCACCGCAATCTCATTGGTATTCCCATCAGTTCTGGATCTTAACTAATTCCGAACGGCGATGTTACTGTTCTCGGTGCTCACTAATTCCAAACGGCGATGCAAGTTGGGGTCAATGACGCGTTGGGTCCGGCATGCTCGCTCTTCCGGCTCTCGATCGTGGTGCGTTCTGCATGCAAGAATGAGCTTTCTCTCTCGCAGTGCTCTGCCGTGATTTCAGCGCCGCACGGTTTCAGCAGTGTTTAGGGTTTCGGTCACGGTTTTAGGGATGAGCGAGGAGTGATTAGGGTTCCAGTCACGGTTTTAGGAATGAGTGAGGGGTTTTTGTACTAAGTGGACAAGGTGAGAGAGAGGCCACAATTTCTATATCTTTGGATTGGTTGAAAAATACAAGTTATACAATTTTATCTAATCAAAGGATATAAAAGTTGTGTTCTGTCACCTTGTCACGTAGGTATAAAGATCTCTGAAGTGTGCATTATATCTCTCATGTGTGGAGAATGTGAGACACATTTTAAGTGCAAAATTTCAATTTCAATTTTTTGTACGATGATTCTTTACTGCAATACAATCCAAGGAATGATTAATTGTTCTTTTATAAGGTGAACTTGATAATTTGGTATCTATTTCAATTAACATCTCCAAGATGGATATCAAGTATTTTTTTTTTAAATATCAAGAATATAAGTTTAAATAAGTTTGTCAAAACGTGATATATTTATGTATAAATAAGAATTGAGTTAGAAGATAACAAAGATATGTAAATACCAGAATAGATAATGTTGAGTTTTAGAAATTAGATACAATTGAATTAAGATTGAAAAATAAAAAAATCATTAACAAGACTAAAGGTGGCATCAATCTTGCTTCTCTTTTTATATGTTAAGTGCAATTGGCAAAATATGTTAATTATAACCCAAAGTTGACTTTAACAAGGTTGAGTATAACTAAGGTTGTTTGCATATATAATAGCTAACAAGAAGATTATGCAAGATTTTTTGAAGACTACAAGGTTTGTAAATTAAGTGTCTAAGTTGTAAGAAACTTTTGTAGAACCTATCTAGAAGTAAATAACTCTTACAAGAAGTTTATATAACAATATGATACACTCATAGATCTAATTTTTAGTTTGCAAGCTTTTCAAATGTTTTTTGTGGAACATGTTATTTATCTAGTCTAGTTCTACTTACTTTTATTTGCTTAAATTAGATATGTGTCTATGATATTGTCATTCTTTCTAAAGATGAATTCTACAAGAGAAAGTCAAATATTAAGTTGTTTTGATAGTTCAAAAAGTCCAAAATCTACTAAATTGTATTTTTGAAAAATTTGGATCTATACTTTGTATGAAAGCAATTAATAAATCTAGCAATCATTGATCATGTTCTATACATGAGTAGAAATACTATTGAGTTGTCAAATTAACATTAATGTCTTCATATCTATTTTCAAATAATACACAAAACATATTATCTAATGTAATTTTTACCCCCAACTATATCATCAAGCATTGAGATTTCTTTCTAAGATTGTCATGTTAAATATGTTATATTTTACCATCTAACACCTAGGTGACTATTTGTCTATCTAGTCCTTGGAAAACATGGTTGTTTTGTATTTGGACTAAACACAACTTTGTTCTAAAATATTAACATTATAAAAAAATTGATTTTTTTTATTATAATATAACTTAATCCAACACTTTTTTATATAATATATATATATATTGTCAAATTGTACAAATAACAATGTAAAAAAAATAATAACAATAATAATATCAATAATATAAAAAAAACAAACACTTAATCCTTAAAAAAATAATTGATGCAAAAATTTTAGATAGACATGAAATTTATTCTTTAACTCAATCTCTAAAATTCCAAATTCGAAGAAAAACTATCCAAGGTGGAAAATAATAAAATTTAAATAAAAGTATACAAAACTTTTAGGAAAACTACAAAAATGAGAATGTAGTGACTTAAAATCAATAGAAAATATACATGGTGTTTCTTTTGGGCAATCAAAGATTAGAAGTTACTTTAAAATTGTACAATATAAAAGTAACCTTGAGTCTTTTAAAAATCACCAGCATTTTTTTATCTTTCTGTTTTAATTTTTTTTTAAAAACTAATCCAAATCTCAAAAACTATCATGGTTTTCAAGTTATCACTAAGTTCTTTTTTCCTATATCAAGTGTTAGCAAACAAACATTTGGCATTGGCATAGTGAATTATGTGGGATGAGTTATATATATATATATATATATATATGTATATATGTATATATATGTATATATATATATAAAATTATGAATTAAATAAAATATATATTAAATACTTTAAAATTAAGTTGAATTGTTCCAAATCAATTTTTTTTCAAATTGCTGAAAGCAATAAAATATTTTGAGTTTTAATGTATTTATACCTAAATATGTATAAAATCTTTACTTTTATTTTAATCATTAAAATTTTAAAATACCTTCTTTTTAAGAGTTGTATTAAAATCTTTGAGATTTTCTTTACTTTTTTTCTTTTATTTGTGATATTGAAATATATGGGATTTTGTATTGATTATAAAGCTTATTAATTATTAATAGAAAAATTTAACTTATTACTATAAATAAATACTTATAAATATATATATTAATTCTTTAAATTTTTAAAAACTATGAAACAAGACTACTTAATTACATTACAACATCTATTAATGATATAATTTAAACTTAAGTAAGAATTTTTAATGGGGTTTAAAAACATATTTTGATAATAAGTGTTAAAAATAAATTAGAAAAATAAATTATATTTTTATAATTATTTTTAAATTATTATAAGATAAATTGGTGTAATCCATTAAAAGAGTTTATGCAAAGAAAAAAATAAAAATAAAACCAATTTCTATAAAAAAAATAAAAATTAAAAAAATATTTAATATAATTTTAAACTCATGGTAGTATTCTTCAATATTGCAATTATTAAGAATGCAAGTTCAAGGGACCAAGATACCAAGATAAATAAGATAAATAATATAAAGAATATAAATAATATAAAATTAAAAACAAACTTAGATCAAAATTGGTGATAAGGCAATACTTAAAAGAGAATATTAAATAGATCTAAGCTTTTACAAAATTTATCCACCCATCCTATTCACCATGACATCTACATTTATTTTTCTATTATTAGATCCAAAACCAATAAAAATCAACCAATTTATTATAATTATCATATCTTTATCATGAACATGTTGATTAAGTAAAAACATAGGTCTATTTAACATTCTCTTACTTAAATTGCTTTAAATTTTATATTAATAAGTTAAAAGTATTGATTGTCTTGTTTCTACATTTATGTTATTAAAATTTAGTCTTATTAGATCTTTTAAAATAAAAGTCCTAGTAGCCAAAAATGTTCTAAAAGTCAAAAACATCTTCAATAAAAACTTTTAGAAGGCAAAAGAGAATATTTTCTGATTCTATTGAAACTTTATAAAGATTATGAACAGTAGTAAGACCTTGAAAATCAATTTGGACTTCTAAAAATCTACCATATATGTTACAAATACTTAAAAATTTTAAGAGATTCTATAACTTTTTAGAAGTTGGTACAAATTGTAGTGTGTAGATTTTTTTTAAAATATTATTTTGAATAATTTATATTTATGATATTATTTTATAAATCAAACTAAATTTAGAAAATATGTATGTGATAAATATGTAAATAAAGTTAGTAATAAATAAATTTAAAATAATTTAAGTGTTTATATATTTTGAATGATTTTTTATTAGTTTGTAGTTGTTAGTTTGAAATTTAGAAGTATACAAGTTTTAAATTGAATTTGTAAAGTTGTATGTTAATTGAATAAAAAATAGACAATTTTTCCCATGGTGTGCATAGAAATAAAATAGATGTTTATATATGTATTTATATATGTATTCTTTATACAAAACAACTCACAAGGATAAATCAATGAAATAAACTAGAGGAGACAAAACCATCTTTGATTAATTGCATATCTCAAAAGTAAAGTAAAAGTGAAGCAATAACTCAACTTTTGATCAATCAAAGATCAAAATCTGCATGTTGTTGCTCTAGGTTGCAGAGAGTAGCAATATAAGATTATTAGAAGTGGAACTCTAAAGCACCATGGCATGGAACAACATAGAATATAGTGAAACTACATGCAACATAGAGTTTCACGTTATATAAAGCTTCAAACAAAAGGTTAATTTACAACACATAGT